CTCTTGAAGGAATTTCCTTATGTGATTTTGTAAAAATATTCTAAGGTTAACCAAACTCTGGGTCTCCACAGCACCCTGGAGCAGTGAGTTCCACAGTTTAATTATACACCATTAAAAAACCCCTCTCCTTAAACCTGTTGCCTAGTAAGTCTCTGCCCTGTTGGTGTCCTGGAAAGAACTGACTGAGCCCAGAAAACAGGTTCTCAGCTCCTGCTGCAGCAGCCAGGCACTCTGGCAATCTCTCCCTTCCCCTCTAAGCAGTACTGGTCTGTGTTTTGTCTGCAACAGAGATGCCACATTCCACTGGTTCTGCTTCAGTCTTTGCAGTTACTAACTTTTCCTTAATTACTCTTTGTTGAATTCAGGCTGATGGCAGATGGGCCGAAATGTTGATAGTTGGACAGCAAAGTGCTTTTTTGTTCAGATAGCCAGACCATGAGATAAAACTGGCAAGAAGTGCTGTGCTGATGGTTAAGAAGGGCTGTTTCAGGAGCTCAGAGGTGATGTCACTAGTGTTTCTCTAGGATTTATCAAGTGATTCTCTCCTCAGTGTTACCTTCTTGCCCCCACCCCCTAAGCAGCCTCTTCCGAATAAAGGCAAGTGAATATGCAAGCATCTATCCAGTCTCAAGGTGTATTTTAAGAACAGGAAACACTGGATAGTTTAGATAGTGATGCAGAGAAGAGAAGGAGCAGTGTGGATTGAGTGTGGAGGGCAGAGAGCTTGAGGGAATGCCAGTGTAGCAGAAAGATGTTGAGGAGAGATGAGGCTCTGGAAGGAGAGATTACGTCTTTGTTGGGCTCTGCAGTGCTGACAGCAGCAATCCCTATCTCTCATCAGTCATTCTTCCATATGTACCTGAGGAGATAACACAAGGGGAGCTGAGACTCTGCAGGATGCCCATCACTGCTTGCATCCTGCTGGGATGGGAGACTGGAGCCCAGAGCCTCTCTCTGCTTTGTTCCAAGGAGCGTGGCTGCAGCAAGCAGCATCATCACCCCTCCCCAAAGCCTCAAGGTTACACAACCTGCTGGGGAGGATGAGTATGTGTGTGGTGACTTGACATAAATATTAATCCAGCTGAGCTTTAGGCTTAGAGAAAGAAATTAATAGAGGAACCTGAAAAAGCATGAAAAAACTTGCGTATTGTTCATCTCATTTGTTCATCTCCTGGGCAGGAAGCACTCTTTCTCTCTTCAGAGCCACAGATACTGCAGGCTGTGGGGTAATTTCACAGTCAATGATGAACTTACATGCTAAGGCTTGAGCTGACCCAAGAATAGCTGAAAAGGGCCTTGTGCCTCTGCTCTTGCTTATGCACCTCCTCCACCAGCACCCTGCACCAGCTCCAGCACCCACTGGACTCTACAGTGAGTAACTCAACCCACTAATCTGGCAGAAAACTAACCCTGAAGAAAAAAATCAGCTCAGTAAAGGTCTGAGAAGTATGGAAGGTGGGGCACAAGAGTGAAACAGTGCAGTTGAGAACAGTGGCAGGGAGCACTGGGTGAGGACAGAGATGTGAGGCTTCCCCTCTTGAGTCAGAGCTGTTGGATCCATCCAGTTATCATATGGAACTGAACAACATGACTTTGGGAAATTCTTCTGTCAGAAACCTTTAGGACTTGTAGTCATATTCTCTCACACGTAGGAAAACAGGCACCAATCTTGGGTGCAAAGCTATTTTGGAGTTAGACACCAGACTGAGGTTAAGAAGTAAGAGTCAGCTCCTGACCCTGCCACTGACCCCCTGTGACCACAGGCAAGTAATTTGGGGTGTAAGACACTCTGCAATGTAAGATGGAACAGACAGGTCCCTTCTGACTTCATCTCTGGGACTGGAAATAAAACAGTCAGTTGAGAGTGCCAGACCTAAAGAGCTATTCTGGTTCAGAGCTTTTTAAAGGAGGCAGAGAGCCAGACTTACATGAGTGCCTGAGCTGGTGTGAGTGCTCTTTGCCACATGGAACTCTCCACAGGTACTTGGAAGCCTCAGCACTGCACTGTCTTGGAGAGTGCAACCTCCTCTCCAAATTCTCCATGCTTCCTACCTCCCCACCAAACCTGTACAGCCTTGCAGAAACTAGCATAGCATGAAGTCAGATGCTATAGCAGATTTAGGCAGGACAGGGACTGAATATCTAAATGTTCAATGAATTCAACCCAGAGTGAGACAAGCCTGCTACTGCAGCCAACAGACAGCACATCTTGGCTTGAAATCCTCTTCTCAAAAGCCCTGTTTGTACAAGGGAAGAACAAGGTGGCTTGGCAGAGAAACAGACACTCTGAAACCTCACCACAAACTCACTCCTGCACCTTGTTCTGAAGGTGACACAAAGCAAAGCCTGTCCATACTAGCAATAACCTTCTGTCCTGTTACTCTGTCATTTCTGCTCTTCTTCTCCCTCCCAACCATCTCCCCCTTCTTTGGCTACTCCCACGACAGCTGCTCAAGTCTCCTGAGCCTAATCTTCTGCTGAGATGAGAGGCAGAGCCCTGTCTGCACCCCAAAGGTGTACCCAGCAGAAGTCTCTAAACGCTGTCTGCTTCTACCAATTGACCTGCAAACTTGTTGAGATTCTTTGCTTATAATATGCTTCAACAGACACATTGTCCCATGAGGACCGAAATAAATTGAGTTGCAGGGCTGCAAATCATGCCTCATTTTAATCAGGGCTATTCAAGTGCTAAGGAATGCAGAAAGCAAATAGGTATTTGTTTTTAAGGCCACTGTTTGTCTCATTTGCAAGAGGAAAATGAATGTGCTCAACCCCTGAGGCTTTAATCCCAGGAGAATATCTTGGGAAATGAACCTGCTATAACCACTACACATGAAATACACCCTTTGTTAAATCCTCTACCCACTGCTTTTGTCACAATTTTTTTCTTTTGGATCTATTAACTCTCTCATTCACTTCTCCACATTCTAATAAGGCTTTAACCTTTCACACTACTTCTGTCACTCCCACTGCAGTCCCTGCTGGTTTACTGGTGACTCATTTCCCTGAGTACCCAACTGGAATCCAACGTCAAGTTCTGCCCTTGTCTTCAGACCTCATTTTAGAAAAAATTACTGCCCAGTCCTGCAGGTGTAAAGGTGGCTGCAGCCAGACTGACCAGGTGGTTGGATTTGCAAATCAGCCCCCCATGCTACTTCAAACACATTTGAATAAATACTCTGCAGACACAGTTTTGATCAGCTTGCATTCCTAGTGCTGCAGTGTCCTTCTCTTTGGCATGCTCTGCTCTCCATTAGAATTCATCCAGCCAATCTATAAGACAGAGGTAAAACTCTGTACAAACCCAGAGCTCTAGTTGCATCCCAGTCCTCCACACCTCAGCTCCTGGGCTTTTTCCCTCTTGCAGCTCTTGCTGTGGTTTGAGACCTTCCCTATCCTCACAGCATGATTCAGCCTCTTCTTTGCTTTCACCCTCTGCCCTAATCTCTTTCTGTGGCCCAGTGTTGTAATCCCCATGTCTCAAACCTATTCCTAGGCCATCTAACAAATCCTTTCTCCCACCTTCTCCCTGAACTTACAGTCCCTATGGCATCCTCAGCCCTACTAACTGGGGAAAGTTGCTTTTGATGATGCCTGGAAGTAACTTTGTGGTGAAGTCCCTTCCTCACCTCTGAACCCCCCAGGCCCCTGCTCCTCATACCCACTCAACTCTTTGATGAGCTCTCCTGTTTAGTGGAGGTGTGGGGTTACTGGTTGAGCCAGAATTGGAAGGCAGCAGTTTTGCCTGTCTATGCCCAAAAGGAAAAAAGTATTATTGCACCAGGAGCCCCTTTTGCTCTAGATAATTAAATGTCATTGTGCAGACAGGAACATAAGGTATGGAAAGAGGGAAGGAATCACTGCAGTTCCCTTCGTGGGCTGAATCAGGGTGACCGACCCTGTTTGCCCCTTACGATCCCACAAGTTCACAGCATCACCTTAGATCCACCACCACCAGTAACTGCTGCTGCAGTTACAACCTGAGCAGTTGTGATCTGTCTGTCTGTGCCCTACATTATGCAATTCAACAACTGTGCAATTAATTCGATAGCTACCTGGGGAACCTGCTGGGAGCTCCTGAGCTTTGATCTGTGCTTAGGGGTTTGTTATGTAGTTTCACTCATGAGCACTGAAGTGAATAATCCAGATACTTTTAAAGGAAGCACTTGCTAAACAAACGCTGCACATTCTGGAACGTTCACTTGGGATTTGAAACAAGATCTTGGAAAGGAAAAAGTGACTTACAGTTTTAGATACCAGTGACATTGATAACGTTGATCTAAAAAGACAGTCAGAGACAACACCAATCACCCACTTGACCTAATATTATTGATCTGATTTTGCAACTGTGTCCTCCTGAGGGTCTGCTTTAGTGAATGGATGGGTACGAATTACCAATAAACTGCTGCATGACAAAGACACTGCACCGATGGCCCCTCACATGGGTCACTGCCAGCCCTGGCAACCTCCAGACAATGCAGAGAATCAGAGTAATTATGGTTGGAAAGGACCTCTGAGATCACAAGGCCAACCATAAACACAACCCCCCTAAACAACCACAAACAGCCACACACTCTCCACCAGAAAACACCCACAACAAAAAACCCTCTACAACCTCAGCCACTAGGGCATGCTCTCAAGTGCCACATCTACATGTTTCTTCAATAGCTCCAAGGACGGTGACTCCACCAGCTCCCTGGGGAGGCTTTTCCAGTGCCTGACCACTCCCTTCAGTATAGAAATTCTTCACAATACCCAATCTGAACCTCCCCTGTTGCAACTTCAGGCCACTTCCTCTGGTCCTGTTGTTACTCACCCGGGAGAAGAGCCCAACACCCACCTCCGTTCAGGTAGTTGTAGAGGGCAATGAGGTCTCCCCTCAGCCTCCTCTTCTCCAAACTAAACAACCCCAGTTCCCTCGGTCACTTCTTCCCCAGCTTGGTAGCTCTAATGCACAACCCCCCCTGGCTCAGAGAAGGCTTGCAAAGCCCAGTCCTTACCTTCTCCTGGTACTGACGCCGTGAGGAGTCCAGAGACTGGATGAGGGCAGTGGCGTGGCCGATGAACATGGCGTAGCAGGTGGCCCCAACAATCATGCTGAGCATGGTGAGCCAGACGTCGGACATGCCCACGGGCGCCTGCTGCCCGTAGCCAATGCACAGCATATGGCTCATGGCCTTGAACAGGGCATAGGAATACTGCTTCCCCCAGGAGTCGTTCTGAAGAGACACAGACAGACACAGCTTCAGCATGGGGACATGACATTCTAAGAGATGAACGCGTTTCAGAAAAGGATACTTCACATTGCACCCAAAAAGTCATATTTAAAGCACTTTCTATATGTTCAACAAGCAATTTCATTTGTCGATGGCTTGGAAATGCTGGGCACACTTGATTTAAAAAAAAAAAAAGAACCCCCAAATTTAGTAATCTGCCATTAACAAATTTTGGCCAGGATGTTTACAGATTCCATGGACTCTTTTCAGTAAAAGTTTCCAGAAAGGAAGCCAGACAGTCTGACACACTGGTAACCTGGAGTAAACTAAGATGATGCATTGGGATATTTTCAAAATGTGGGAGAAGGAACCAAAGCAAGTGAATACTCCAGTGGGAAATGGGACTTTAGCAGAGAATTGGTAAAGGGGAGGCTGAGCAAAACTACCAGCAGCAAGATCTTAGAGCAGGGAAAATGACTCCTCAGCAGTTTAGGAAATGGATAGGCTCTCTGGTCATTACCTGAAGAGATGGGAAGGGCAGAAACCTAACATCCTAACGTCCAAACAGCAAGGTCTTCTCACTGCAAAACAGGGCTCTTTTTCAGAGAGCTGAGAAAACTACAAATGGTCTCATTTGAGAGATGCAATAAACCATGGTGAGAAGCCAGCTGAAGTCAATGGCTTCTCTTGAACACTCTGCTCTCCCACTGCAACTGACACAAGAAGTACCTCATCATGGGACAGGGAGGAGAAGCAGCTTAAGTTTCATGATTATTCTGATTAGCCTGGGTTCATGGTACAGCTCAAGGTACATTTACTATCCTGTGGGTATTACATGCTAGCAAGTCCTTGCCACAAAACCTTGTAAAGTAAATGCACTGTCATCACACGTTGCTATTACAAGGTATGTGCAAAAATACCTCTGCTACAGTGACATTCGTCACAGCATATACCCTGTACATTCATCAGTCTTCCTTCTGTTCCTAGGAAGGTGTGAACGTTATGGATATAGCTGTGTGGATACATGTACCATGGCAACATCAAAGGTCATTGTACAGAAGGCCTGGTTTGTGGCTTGTCAAATGGACAAGCAATACTTGTGTGAACTCCATTCAGCCTCAGCACCAGTGACCAGCAATGCTAGGAGCCCTGGAGCTTCCTGGACCTCTCCTTGGAGGTATCTAATCCCAGGTGGAAGGCTGCTGACCTCTCTCTGCAAGCAGCTGAGTGTCACTAATGTTGATGGAAATTTTTCAGAAGGTTGCAAGCAGTTAAACAGAAGCAAAGTGTTCTGTTGCTGTTTGTGAGCTGTGGCAAAGAGCTGGAACCTCTGGAGAGTGTTAATGCTTGGCTAGGAGATAAGCACATGGACAAAGGCAGGTGATAGCTTCCCCTGCCCATATTCTGTTACATTATGCAAGACAGGCCTGATTGACCCTGCAACAAGAAGGGCAAAGCAACTGAAGGGAGAGCAAAGCGGACACAGAAGCAGCACATTCAGGGCCTCAGAAGAGCCTGCTCCCTGCTGGCGCCAGCCTGTCTGGGCTCACCTCCCTAACAAAGCAGGAACCTGTTCCCCTCCTGCACTGGAAAAAACTACCCTTGAGTCAACAGAGAGAGAAGAGACAATGTGGCCGTTGGTGGCTCTGTTCCTGGCTATGCAGTTGGCTTGCCAGTGTGTGAGGAGTTGCAGCCAAAAGGGGAGAGAACTACAGATGAAGGCAAACAAGCATTTGCATTCTGCTGCCTGTACAGGGCAGCAGGAAGGATCTGTCCAGAGGGCTGCCTGAGGTGTAAGCACCCAAGGAGTGAATCTCTTGCTCTTTTGTCTCACCTATGTCTATGGTCTTGGGCCTAGAGTCCTGGCTAAAGCAGTGGAGGGGGACCCCATTATTCCACCATCTGGATTTTGTGTCATTTTGCAGACCTGCTTCTGATGTGTGAAGGCATCAAGCATCTCACACACCTGACAAAAGCATCCCTGTATCTTCACTCCTAACATTTCCAGGAGCCATGGTCCCTTTTCCTCAGCTCTGTAGTATCAGCAGTCATAAAGCTGTGGCCTCTACAAGTAAACAATGGCAAATGCTGCACACTCTATGGATTTAGCCCACCAGTGCTTCAGCAGGGAAGCCATCATCCTGAGACATCAGGCAGAAGCAGGCACACTTGACCAACCTTTGCTTAAAATGCCTGTAAAGTTGGGCAAGACATTCCCAGCTTTACTGGGCCAGAGGTGGTAGTGCAAGTGTCCTGTCCCATCCCATCCTTGTTAAATTAACTCCTTTTCCATGCAGACACTTCTCACTGCAGATGGCAGAAATGCTGCTGCCCTCTATGTTCAGTGTGGCTGTGGTTTAACAGGGCAGCACAACAGAACTGAGCACAGGGAGAGAGGAAATGCCAAGCTGAAATCCCAAAGGGAATCTGGGGAAACAAATTCCAGCTGAGCTAGAATTTGATCTATCAGGAACCTGGTTGTCAGGTCTTTAATGGCCATCAGAACCTAAGAGGAACATCTGGGTATCAGGCAGGTTCAAGTTTTAAAAGCCATTCTTCCAGCAACTTGCTGCTCAGGAGTGCTGTTTACAAGGAAACTTGCCAGTGTTTTTTATAGGTATTAGTCATACAAAACTACAACATCCAACATCACTGAGCCCCTGCAACCTGCAGAAACACTCCTGGCTCCCTGGGAGCTCTATGGTTACAAGTCATAACCCCAGTTCCAAACAGCAGCACAGCTCCCTGTGAGGACAGCCTGCGTCGTGCCAGACTGAGGAGATGGCTGAGTAATGCCAGAGAGAGGGAGCAGAGGTGGAGGGAAACACGGAGTGCTTGAAAAAAATCCCGAGCAGTGTGGTCTGCTGGGAGAAGGGATCAAGGAGTGCTGAAAGAGAAGCACTTCCATGAAGGGAAAAATTTACAGAGCAAATACCTCTAGGATGCAACCACTGAGCTCTGTGAGCATCTGTGAAGAGCACTAGATCCTCATGGCACAGTCTGTGTGTGCCATGAGAACTCTTTGCTTACAGGTCTCAGTATATCTTTAGGTTTTAAGGCCTGCTCTGCACCCTTTTATTTAGAATCACAGAATGGTTTGGGTTGGAAGGGACCTTAAAGATCATCTACATCCAACCCCCCTGCATGGTCTCCCACTAGACCAGATTGCTCTAACTGGAGGTTGGGTTTGAGGTGGGGTCACCCGCACTGTTTGCTTTTAGGGATGAGCAAAGCTCCCACTCAGGGTTGTACCAAATTCCTCATGGAATCCCCTTTCCCTGCTGGCCCATGTATTTGTAATAAAATCATCGTGGAATGGTTTGGGTTGGAACGGACCTTAAAGATCATCTAGATCCAAACCCCTCCATGGGCAGGGACACCTCCCACCAGCCCAGGCTGCTCCAAGCCCCATCTAACCTGCCTTTCAACACTGCCAGGGATGGGGCAGCCACAGCTTCCCTGGGCAACCTGGGCCAGGCTCTCACCACCCTCACACTCCACAATTCCCTCCTCATGTCTCACTTCAATCTCCCTCTTCCAGTTTTCATCCCTTCCCCCTTGTCCTCTCCCTCCCTGCCCTTGTCCCAAGTCCCTCCCCAGCTTTCCTGGAGCCCCTTCAGGCACTGGAAGGTGCTCTAAGGTCTCCCTGGAGTCTTCTCTTCTCCAGGCTGAACACCCCAACTCTCCCAGCCTGTCTCCAGAGCAGAGCTGCTCCAGACCTCTGATAATCTTCATGGCCTCCTCTGGACTCCCTCCAACAGCTCCATGTCCTCCTGTATTGGGGGCTCCAAAAATGGACACACAGAACTTTTCCACAGAATAAGCAGGCAGGTCTGGAACGCAGCACTTCAAGCAAGAGTAGCAGTAGTGGTTCCACACATACTGTGGCCACAAGTTTACTTTCAGCACGGTGCCTTAGACTGCCTCAGCTTGTTTCCATAAGAGCCATATCCCTACACTCAGAATACCACTGTCCCAGTCCCATGGTGGGAGGGCTGTACTAATTCAAATATGCTGGAGTCTCTAAAATGGCCCATTAGGGTAGGTAAATGAGGCCTTAAACTACTGAAAGAAAATGACTCCTCGTTAACCAAATCTCCAAGCAAGCTGAAAGGGAGCTACAGATCTGTGCTTGAACACAGTCGAGGGGGATGTTATCTCAGGCACATGCCAGGCACTAGGAGCATTTGCAAAAGGGAGTTAAAATTACTTTGAAGCAGTTTCTCAGACTAGATTGTTTTTAACATCCACACTGGCACGACTCTAAGGGTTTTTCTGGGATTAGAGTCTGGACTGCAATGCCTCTGCTCAGATTCACCCTTGAATACATGGAAACACATTCCTGAAACTCTTCAAAGGCAGTGTTGGGTTCTGCAACACCTCACAGCACCATCTAAAGAAAGAGGAAGGTGTTTTATAGGATGTTCTGGGTCTGATGAACATGTGAGTGCACCTTGAACCCAGGCAGGAGAAGGCTAGAGAAAGACAGACAGAAGTGCTGGCAAGTTCTTGGGGTAGGGGCATAGTCCACAGGCACAATGTTAGGCCTGACTTGCACCACTAACATTTCACCCTATTAAGGAGCTGTCTGCTGTGGAAGGGCAATCTGGTGAACTCCCACATGTGCCTCAGCAGTGACCTTACCTGGGCACAGGGCTGTTACTCCAGGTTTGCTGCTGCACACCACCTATGTCAAGTTGCAAAATAAGGCCTCTGGGCATCACTGCCCTCACCTGGACAACACTGTAACTGCTGGGCTGGGAAAGAAAGACTCAGATCCAGTTTAAAGGGAGGGACTACTGGGATGAGAAATGGAGATGATAGGTCAAACTTCACATTGGACAAAACATGCCTGTTCTGGGCTTATTTCCAAGGAGAGCTTTGCATGGCCTTGACCTGAGAAAAGGGAAGATTTTCTCAGAACTCTGAGTGCCTCAGTCAGCCTTGCCTGGGACCCCCATCCATGCTCCTGGACCTCCATTTCAGCACAGGCCTGGGCACCCAGACCTTGCCTGAGCTTGCTGTACCTGTGCCCAGCCCAGGGCCCTGAACCTTTGCTATAGTCTTGTTTCTAGCCTTGCCTCTGGCCCCATTTCTTGCTGCTTCTGACCAGACTCCTTGGGTAGACCCTGGGCAGGACTGTCACCCTGTCTTCACTGGAATGGTCAAAGGAGCCCATTATCACCACTTCTGCTCTGTCCACCCTGTTTGGGACCAGTAGGACTGTGCCCTCATTGGTGAGGACCTGTGCAGTGATCACCCTTGGCTCCTGACTCACAGCCCGTCATGGAGCAGCTCTATTCTTGCTGCTTCCTGTCATGAGAATCTACTACACAGCCTCCTACGTCTGCTGAGTGATGATAGAGGGATTTGCTGTACTGGATGCTTGGGGAGAGTTAGGAATCTCACAGGAGATCTATGCAGGATTGCTGTCTTCCACAACACGTGTTACATCCATTTCTGTTCCACTACCAGAATGTTTTGGGGGCAGGAAGGGGGTTTAAGCTCCAAAGGAAAGTACTCTCCTTTTGATAGAAGGAAACATGTTTAAAATAACTTCCTATGCAAGGTGGTGCTGCATTTGACACAGGGTATTTGCCTTTCCTGCAGGGTTTATCAGTTCAGCACAGCACCCAAGGGAGGGTGCCACATGTTTCCAGCAGCTTTCAGGTCTCAGTAGAGCTCAGGTTTCTCTGATGAGGAGCTGCCAGGCAAGGGTCTTGGGGAGATGCTGCTGCCCACACACATGCTGCTCTGCAGCTGACTCAGTAGCATTTCTCTCTTTAATAAAATGCCCTGTAGGGAAGCTAATGCTGAAGCCCCTGAGATTAAGGTTGAGCAATTAATACTGAAAACATCCTTCCCCACCAGTTCAGAAAGAAGACATACAGAGATTCACTCCTACTATTGCTAAAGATGAAATGTGGTGCAGGGAGAAAACACCAAAATGAATTAGACTAGGGGATTTATCAAGCCCCTGATTTTGGCAACACCAGATCCCTTCCAGGGATCAAACCTTTAGAAAGCAGATGGGAGGTGTTGAATCTTCTTTCACTGCTGTGTCAGAATCAGAGCTGGTTTTATGGACTGCCAAGTGGCTAGGTGGGAAGCTCTGGAGCAGTGGAAGAGCAGCACCAGCACACTCAAGGACAAAGCCTCCAAAGCACTTGGCACCTCACTTTCAGCTCCCCTTGGCTGTGACAGCTTTAGAATATTCCTTTTTTTCCTACAGTGGTTCCATCCCAGCTTTTAGGCCCCTGTGTGCAATCAGGGCAGTCATGAACCAAGTATATTTATCTCCTCAAAGCTGTGACCAGGTCAGTACAGAATGTCCCAAAATCCAACCTACCAACTCTCTGTCACAAACAGACACCATCCTGGCCTCCTACCTCCCTACCCTGCCCATCACAGCTCTCAAACAGAGCCATTCTGGAATCTACCATCAAGATCTTAGCACCAGAGTCTGGGAACAGCCCAGACCAACATTTTTCTTGTTTTCCTCACTCAGTGGCCTCTCCTGTTCCTTCACTATAGACTACACATAAATTGTGGCACTAATCATGCCATCCACATCCATGACTGGTCCCAATGACACCTCTGGAAACCTTCTCAGGCAAGTAGAGGATAGGACCTTGCTGTGAGAAGAAACTATCTGATTCCAGAAGAACTAACTATTCTCTTTGTTACCTCTAAAACGAAGGTTATTTTGGGGCTGCCTTATTCCCTTACAGTTTCTGGAGTGGAAGACACCTGAACTGTAGGTGCGGCGTCTCTCCAGTTCTTCATTTCAGTTTCCTGAGGCTCCATTTCTGAGACAGTCACTGAGATAATTTTTTTTTTCTTTTATTAAGTGGAAAAAGTGAAGGTGATTTATCTGCAGAGAAGAAGCTGAAAAAAATCAGACAAGGCAAGTTTAATTACCAGCTTCACAGGCTCTCAAGGCTGGGAAGAAAATCATTGCAGTATTAGAGCCTGGTAAAGATCTGCTCTGGGTAGAAACTTTATACTCTGCCCCTTCTGAAGACTCTGTTGAGACCTCCTGCCTGTGGGATGCATCCCTCCCTGCTCTCCTCAGCATTCCTG